TCACAATACATCCACGCTCCAAATATAGAAATTTCGCATGATTAGATCCAGGAGGAAAGGAGTTACGACTGAAAAGTACGGCTGAAGAACCATTTCACCGAAGACATTTGAGCGCTACTGTATATGCGGTAAATCAAGGTGTCCACCTCACGATGAACTGTAAACTGTGCTGCTGTACAAGAAGGGAGACGTAGAGGATATTAGTGACTATTGAACAACCTCCTTGCGTACTGTAGTGTACAAACTCTTCACACAGTTGTTCTCAACAGAATTGACACAGTACCTCATGAAGAACAGCTCCGCAAACAAGCAAGGTTTTGAAGAGGGTTTAGTGCGGTGGATCAACATCACACAGTTACAGAATCACTGAAGTGTTGCGAGAGTACAAGATGACTCAAGGTCTTACGGTCATCTACTTGAAGAAGCCTTGCGACATCTTGAGAAGGATTTATCAGGCTATTCGCGAGGATGTTCTGCTACAGTAAGGAAATTTCATGAGCTCCGCTACAACTCCATCAAAGTACCGTCATTCTGCGAAGGAATCATCGTTAACTTGAACAAAGGAGTTCCACATGGAGATCAATTGCATTATGGCTGTAAATCCACTATCCAGGAGGCAGAACGAATCCGACAAGTTTGAAGCAAGTTCAACATGCAACTGGTTCCATTGAAAATGATGTTCGAGAGAAACGGACTAGCTCTTGATGATCCTTTTATGCTTAACTGTAACCACATCTCTGGAAGCTCCAGCTAGCTTTCCTCGGCTAATGAGCTGAACGGCTTAGCTGCAGAGCTGAGCAAAAGTGAACGCGGTATGAAAAGCAATCAAGAATATCCGTATTCGGTTCCGCTGATCTAGAGCTCCGTCACTGAACGAATATCAGAGATGCTGTCACTTGTTCCGAAAAAAACTGAAGATCAGATGAACAGAACGGCACTGCAGTTTGTGGATGGTGCACAGAAGTAAAGCAGAAGAGTATCTGCTCCGGAGAAAAGTGCACAGGCAATTCAAAGCCCATTCACGAGGTCTGTTAAAATCGACCGGGCAAACCTTCCAAGAGGTTCAAATGCCATAAGCGCGGACACTGAGTGTAGTTCAAAAACGTTTTCGATTGGTTGTGTAAAAAGTCTAAATCGTTCAGCATTACAACCAGGTGTTCGCCGAAAATGTGGTGGGGAACTTTGATGTTGATCTGTATGACTGTTTTGAATGTTCAGGCCACTGGCCTTCGATCCAGAGTATTTCAATGCCTCGTTATCAAAATAAATACTTTTGAACACAGTAGGAGACTTGCCACCTAACACAGTCGATAAGCTTGAACGTCATATAAATTCACAATCTGCCCTTTTCAACCACAACGTCATAAAGGTTTGGGTTGATTCGAATTCAAAATACTGGTCCCAAACTTATTCATCTATTTACTTACCAAGTCTTCTAAATCTCAGCGAGGGCTTAATATGTACTCATGCAATTCTCCTTTCTATACCCTCTTCCCATCTATTCAATATATGATAAATTGGTCTCCTTCTTTAAATGATCGCCCAAGAATTGTAATATTACACTACATTACTGAGTTTCTGCTTTTTATATTAGTATATACTACTTATTATTATTATCTATGTCAACATGTTTATAAAGTGGTAATAATCGTCGAGACAAAAATTTCTTTCATTTACAAAGGATTATGACTTGTTATATGTACATGGTCGCACGTTACGTAGATGTCAAGTTATAGGCGAAAAAATTTATAATTAAAAAATTTAATTAAATTCAAAAAAAAATTGTCAGTATAACATCTTTTATTGTATTAAAAGGATTTTCGAGTGGTGATCAATATGGAGTTAGGCGAAATCCTATTTCACACATCCCTGAAGAACCTCAGATAACGAAAGAGCTCATGGCATTGGATGATTTGTGAAGATATAACACATAAGAACTAGGAATACATTGTGATATATGGAGATACAAGTAGATGAAGATATCCCACCATAAATGGAGATAATCCATGATTTGTATACCAGGGTACTGCATGACTTGAGTAAGAAAATCTAGCAAAATCTGAGAAACCTAGAAAGTCTCTCCTCTGCTCAGTGAATTTAACCCGCTCCTGAATTGCCGAGTGAGGTATACCCAAAAGTCGATCATATAAGACAACCATTGATGACAGGATGAAGGATTCAAAGAGCAGTAAGAAGAAAACGAGGCGGAAGATGGTCAGGCTAATCTTCTGCGAACAACATCGTTGATTCAGCTCTTACTGCGTCCTTGCATTCTCCCACGTGACTACGTCAATTTGGGGTGGTCCTTCCTACAAGGGAGTCATTTCCCTATACTGAATAGCGCAATATGCGTTTCGTCAAACCTTTTTTGCAGCAATAATACCATTTGATGGTCTCTCTGCAGCCTAAATACCTTCATAATGGATTTTCTACCAAATCAGATATCACAGCGAGCCATCGAACATCCACGTACCCGACAACAGCCCGTCTTACTTTTAAATCTTCCTCCTTTCAATCGTCCTATTCCAGAGATGCTTCAAAACAAAAAATTTGTCATCGGAGAGGGTCAGCAGCAGCTCTACAGCCTTCAGAAGTTCAGAACTTGAAAAAAAAAACGAAAAAACCGAAAATTGGAGAAATGATTGAATAGAATGGTACAGACTCTGCCGAAAATGTGCCGGTACCACACGCTCTTTTCGCAAACAGAAAAATCTATTGCCAATCTGACCATCCTACAGTAATCTTAAATTACCGTCAAGACCAACAACCTTTTTTGATGTCATGTAGTTCACGACAAGATTCAGATTTTCTCTTTATATCGTATTGCATACAAATGTTGAGCATCATAATCATCATCATCATCATGTCGCTATATTCTACAATCTCTAACATAACTGAAAGCATATAGAACAACTTTTCAATATCAATATCAGCATAGTAAAGTAAGCGCGATGATCACAAACAATTCATTCAAGGGAGACATGTGCGACGGCTTTCTATGGGGGTACATTTCAGGATAGATTTTCACTTCTTATATATTAAATATATACAATTTTTTNTTTTTTAACATTAAGTTGTTTCAACAATATCTCACAAACAAATGCATCGTTCGCTCCAAACAGAAGCAATCTCGAAACGTTTTCAGCGAAATTAGCCTCATCTTACGCATTATTAATAATCTTTTGCGATTTAAAAAACAATTAATGAGACTATTGCACCAAGCAACAAGAAGATTCATACCCATACATTAAAGTGTCATCAGAAAGTTTTTCGAAAAAAAAATCCTAGTAATTAATAAGCGAAACTATACAATAAGCACTACACATTAGGAAGCAGCTTTTCCAAAAGCGTTGAAATCCATTGTGAGCTTTATTGTTGGCTGTTGGGATAGGTGTACACTCTGGAAACTTATTTTATTGGTTGGAGTTTCACTTTCCAAAAGAAGTTTTCTCTACAACTTGACCATACACCAGCTGACGCACTTTAGTTGACCACCGACAAAATGATAATCGAATCGATGGGTTGAAACCAAAAGAAGGCAAAAAACTTTCAGCCCCACAAACCAATCTTGGTTGTGTGCCTGAGAAAAAGAGAGACCGCGGGGAATAGAATGAAATTTTTTCGACCAAAATACAGTACAGCTCAGCGCAATATGCAGGACCTCTTTACCAGCGCCTAGAATAACGACTCAGGTGCTCCAAAGCCCGTTTCTCTTAAACGAAAATCTAAAAAAAACGAATTCCAAAACGATACAGCACAACACATAGTCTTTACAAGAACTGGGCGGTGCTTGCTGCTGCGTGCGGTCGCGTCGCGGACATAGAGCTTGAGCCTGGTGCTACTTATCTCTTTCAGCTTTACATTTTTGCTATGAAAACGTTAACTATGTAGAAAATTTAATGAGAAATCCTCAAAATGATCTAACCACCAATTTTTTTGTATTTCGCGTCAATATTTTTATATATAGAAACGTTACGGTTCATCACAAAACGAAATGATCGTGAAACTAGGACCAGTCAACAGTACCAATGTTACTCTTGTGACACTTAATTGTACCTTCTCCGTCATTGCCATCAGTAATAAACACTTGCCTCATGAAAAAAGCACAGCAACCTACCTTGGATTCTGCCACCGCCTTCGCTTTCGCTACTTGCTGAGCCTGTACCTGCCGACTTGATTGGAACAATAAAGCACTCTCCAGTTGTTTTTTCAGAGGCGGATGAGATGCCAGCACCTACAGAGGGCAATATCGAAATCTCTCCAGACCTTGAGCAGGTCCTATCCACTAACCTGCTTGAACTCTACGGGCCATGATGGTGCGACTGCATTTAGTCGTTGCAGGGCGAACTCGTGTATCCGCCGAGCTGGCTGGCTTAATAATCGCCATTCGTCTGCTGAACTCGCGCATAGCAGACGACAGAGTGACTGAGTAAGAAGCGAAACCAGCGATAACTCTGAAGTTCGACATTCCAGTAAGAAACTTTTCAAAAAAAGTCAAAAATAAATATTGAGATGTGGTGGAATGAGACTAGAAGGGATCCATTGAGAGCATTTCAAACCTGCTGGTCTCCCACTGATGTGATAGTGGGAGACCAGCAGGTTTGAAATGCTCTCAATGGATAAAATGGCGTAAAATGCTCAGATCTCTTCTATTCCCCATCTAGCAGGAAGACATAAGTAAGAAGAGATTTCTAATCGCTTAGTATACCTACTTCGTTTCTCATCAGCCACTGTCACCAGTACTTCTAAAGTCTTGAAAGTGTCTTGGATAACTGGTAATTGCTCTTCAGTGATGTCCTGGAATTACCACTATTATTAAGAAAAATACTGCACGCGAGAGATGCAGATATTATTTTCATCACATAGGCTTGGGAACCCGCAGCCATTATTCTAACCAGATTCAAAGTCGCAATTATTATTAATTAACAGAGTTTATTCAAAGTCGATCTCACTTACCTTCACCTTCGCAGCCACATTATCACCCGTCACAAGTGGCCGGATGACATTGAAGACGTCTCGTCCAAGAGACGAAATAAAAGGGCCGTTGATATCTCGTCGAGCCAGCAATGATGACAGAGACTGTAGGGTTTTTGAAACAATCTGAAAGAGCGATCCTTGAACAATAATCAAAAAATTCAAAAAATAACTACAAAAAAACCTCATAGAGCTACATACATACTTCTACGACAAACGAATTAAAACAATACAACTTTTGATTTTCATTTATTAATTTTTATTTTATCATTTGAGTGGGAGAGTTTTTTTTTGTTTCCCACCTGAGGATGTTCATTGTGCAACTGTGAACGGATGAGTCGGACTAGTCTATGAAAACTTTCGCGATGGCCAAGAACAACTTGTCGAGGGGCTACTGACGCCAGAACAACACATGACAGCATCAACACACATTCGTCTTTTCGATGGTCAGCTTAAAATTGATAAATGCCATTAAGTAATATTTGTAAAAAAAAANAAAAAAAAATGAGAAGGATCCTTACCATCACACAGCAGCAATATCGAGTACAAAGCGCTCTGCATCATTGTGATCCAGCCAGAAAGGGTCGAATCTGTAGGTGGGGTTGAGGCCAAGTTACGAAGAGCCTAAAAAGGACTCTTTACTGATTCATAGACCAACAACGACGACACAGCAGTCTTACAGGGACCACAGTATTCCAACCTCTAGCTCCATCACATTTAGAGACCGCATTAATTACCTGAAGAGCTGTCGTAGCAACTATGGTCAGGTGTCCGGGTGGAAGGTCAGGTACGAAGCTGTTTTCATCGACACGTGCAGATTCACGAATAAAGCCAATAATTAGGTACAACACACTTGGCAGAATCACAAGTCGTCCTTTAGACGAACATAATGAGGGGACCTTGAAAAGATGTAGATACAAAGCAAACAGGAGAGGAAAGTCACACGGGCCGGCTGGTAAAAACCTACATTGACAAGCAATTGAATGCCACTTCGGATCAGATGAGCACTTTCAGCTGGTAATCGTCCAAAACGCCTCATATGCAACGGAGCCAGTGATCGACTTTTCATCTGGGCTGAATTTATCTGCGGCATCTGGAAGCGTTCATTACTATCGAAATGTTTTTCAAAAGTTTTCGAGAGGCTTACTTCTCTAGGCTCTATAGAGCAGAGTGGACCGTGTGAAACCAAGCAAACTAATCCCTCGAAACAAAGAAAGGAAAAGGAGAATTGAAAGTTTCCTAAAGAAAAGCTATAAATTACCTGTCGCACCATCACACATAAGCACAATTCCATCATTGCAAAGGTCAGTGTGGTGCCCTGGCCTATACCATCATCTCCTTCACCACCCGCATACAAATTCTTTGGTCGAGATTCCGGATCAGTCGTTGTATTAGGTAGATTTCCATTTTCGAGATCTATAACAAGAACTTTGAAGTCTCCTATTGTTACCTTTTCGACATTTACAAGTTTATCAGCAACCGAAAACTCACCTTCACTGGCACTGATGCGAATTGAACATCGAGCAGCATCCAGAATAGCATGAGCACAATCAACACACAGTTGCTGAGTAGCCAAATTATCTCGAGTCAATATCAACCTGAAAGGATCTGGGTGTCAAGGGTAGAGTAGTGAAGCAGACTTCAAGACTTTGTGCTCGGGGATTCCACTTAGCGCAAGAGATAATTAACTAACACAATTTCACATCGCAGTAACCTTTCTTGACTGAACCACGTGTAGTTCAGTTTCTGAAGCCAGGAATTTCCGTGTAACCGAGTAATCCCTGAGAAAGCAGTAATTCGATAACTTTACTAAGTCTGCGATCTGAATTGGGGAAAAATATGTGGACTAGCAAGCAAGACACCGACGTGTTTCACTTCACTAAACCTGGAACGCTGGGACGAGCAAACTAATTTTCAAGTCCATATTTGGGAAAATTTGGGAAATTCATGAAACCAAGAAAAGTAAACGTCATCGCGACCCCTTTTCCAGACAACCACCCAAGTTATTTGAGCCATCCGTTGCCTCTTCCAATTTACTGCTTTGCTCTTGGCTGTAACCCCTTCAGATGGTAGTAGTAGGACTGGATATCCTTGGCTGTAAGTCGGACTAATATCACTTTCTGGAAATGAAGTTTTCAAGCTCATACCGATGAAGGACGTTACACAGTTCAATTGGCAGTTTGATGTCGGACATCAGTTGTAATTGACACCATTCGCACTGCAGTAATGCATGAATAGCTCGTACACAACTCTGAAAATCAAGCATTACAGGTAAATACCAGCTGAAATTCACAAAACTTCAGGATAGATGGTGCAAAAATTGAGCTCAGGAAAAAACAAGAGAAACATCACCGAATATTCCAACATACCTGTATGGTATGGTCGTCAGCATAAGTTGTTCGACTACATAGGGCCTCTACCGCGATACCCATCATCAAATGGAATCTGGATTCTCTACGGTTGTCTGGCCAAGTTTGTGGCGCCTAAAAGGTTTTATATTTAAAAGCCCAAATTCTAAAAACATTAGAAATTACCTCCGCATTCTCTGGTAACTCGAAATTCGACTTGCTCAGCCACATAGCCAGTGCCAACAGAATCGGTGGCCAGCTACTACGGTAATACTCGCGGCATTCCTTAACAAACATAATCTATGATAACGTTATTTCAGGAAAATCGAGGATAAACACATTTAGTAAACAACCGAAAAATGGAATCCTGATGTATAGCTAGCATGCCTCAACAAAATCTCACCTCTGCGCTTTCAGCTTTGTAGAAAGCACCACCCGATGATGGCATTTGATCGGAAAATTGTGCTGGAAGTGAGAGCAAAGCGGAATCTCGAAGAGCTGCTAACCAGTAACACACCAGAGAATCGAGTTCGGGTCGAACCAGCGATAACAAGCTTTCCGATGATCCCACAACATTGATATCATCATCGTCTGGAGAAGCAACTTTCAATACACCGCAAAAAATAATTCCATACAGATCACCAGTCGACCGAAGAAATCCGCCAGACAGTAGTGTGAGAAGGCAAAAATAAGCAATCCATTCAGACCCAAAGACCAATTTAGTTTAAACATAACCCGGATATGACAACTCTAGCAGAGCAGCGCTACACGAACGATATAGAATGACCACAATGGTCCCGATGTAAAACAAAAATCGACCAAAAGCCCGGGCGATCAAACAAAAACATGGAATTTCCGATAGTCCCCGAGTTCTCGGAAAGGGCCAAAAGACTGGTGGGATGGAAATAACCATTCAAACATTATGAATTCTACGAATTTTCTCTTTACAGCACTAAAAAACCAAAGGTACGGGACCGGTTGAATGATGACTCCCATAATGAATCCAAAAGCTGACCACCACCTTCTTTCCGGTTTTCATTGATCTCCGTTTCCTGAGCGACGGCCGTTACGTACACTTCTGCCCAAGCCTTCAGAATAGATAGCTTCTCCAGCGTTGCAGCACTTTCGCTATACAGTTGAGTGTTGATTGAGCCATGCTTTAGTTTACCCAGTGACGATACCAGCAGCTAAAACAGTTGATCTGGTAAATTGTTGAAGTGTTCACGACCAACTGGTAACCGAACCGATAAGTAAGGCTTTGAGGCTTATTTTTCCTCTACCATTAACTCTCTATGGCTTCGAAACAGACATAATTCAATGTTCAAAACGAAACTATTCAAAAAATCAGCCCATTACGCATATTTTGGCTCATATTCACAAAATCCGCCCGGGCTCAGGTAAATTTCCTCCCACATACAGGAATTCTGAAAAATCACAGAAAAAAACGTACCTGATGCACCCTCCTCAAATCATTCAAGTCCCGAGCAACTCCGCTACCGATCCATGTGCTGCACACTTGACAAGCTGCAGCAGTAACATGGCTTGGTGTATCTTCCGTGAATGCGGGACGGAGAGCAGCTCCGACCTTGATTATTTCAATAAAAATTGAAAAGGCAAACTACTTAGCGAACTTTTTGTGGTAATTACTAGGTATATAAAAGCCAATCTAAACAAAATAAGCAGACAAACCTGCGCCTGGAACTGTTCTAGTATGACATGCCCTGGGAATTCGGGTTCTGGTACGGTTGAGAACCGCGTGATGACATCCTGAAAACAATCTTCAATAAACAACATCGCTTAGACAGTCCCTAAACAAAAAAATTAAGTGGAGGTGACCCAGTAGAACTGCCACCGACACAGATATGATCCGCAGATCGGATCCCGATTTCATAGCCCCGAACCAGACCCCTACATTCTGGGCACCGCCCTGTATCGGCTCTCTTAGCTACTCACTATATAGGCTGCGTACGCCTTCATGCAAAATTGTCTCGAAACTGCTCTCCTACCCACTCCACAACCCTGCTCCGTTTTTCCTCTAAAACTGAATCTCAACTTGGTTTTAAGTGAAATTTTAATAGGAACCCTCCTCGGTCGTAGGCTTCTTTATAATGCCTTGACTCTGTCTATAGCCACTACGTTTAAGTAATCATCAAAGAAAAACATACCTGAAGTGAATTCAGGCCAGCTAGCCTCAATTCCGTATTATCACTTGTTGCACCCATAAATGACATTCGTACCAAATCAGATAGATGTAAAACCAAATAGTCAGCTCGACCGCCTGGAAGCATACCAAGAAAAATCTTTTTTTTTATTCTTCAATTTGAACCAAAAGAGAGTCTCAATGTTCCTTCGAAGAAATGTTCTTTCAAAACTACTCACCAGACGACATTTGCAGCTCCTTTGCCAGGGAGAGATCCAGATGTGCCCTCTCGGTATCACAGACGCTCATCAACCTTTGTACGACCTAGAAACATGAAAACTAGCTAAAGTCGACATTAAATGCAGCCAATTGTATGAAATCAACAGAATTCTGAAGAGTTCATGAATGGATAAGACAGCATGGAAATACCTGTGTGGCGAACACTCTCGTAGGCCAACGAGGCTGAACTTTGCCCTTGTCCGGAACATCGGACCGTGGTCCACCCACTTGAAGCGTTGCGTCATCGTCATCATTGCTCTGACAATACAGAAGTAATCAATCCAAAATGAGAAAATAAATCCATTCCAGAGACAAAATTCAAACACTAAGTTCATTGAAGATTGTTATAACCATTTTTAACAAAAGTAGCAACAAAGACAGCGCCCACGCTGAGCATTTGACCAGCTCCGTATGAGCCAATGCCCCCTTTTGATTGATAACTGCTTACGAAAGAGGAGCAATAAATCAGGATGGAGAATGCGCTGGTGTAGACTATTCCGCCCACGCACTGGTTTTGAATACCGCCTCTGAATGCCTTAAAAGTGGC